GCAATCTGAATTTATATTCCTGTCAAAATATAAACTAACATTAGCAGATACTTTCAAATATCTAAGTATCCATTTTACAGCCTGCCAATGGATTTTTCCAGGCTTATCCATATACCGACTCACAACACTGACTGCATGTGAAATATCCTGACGTATGCAAACCATAGCATACATAATGCTTCCAACTACACTGGCATAAGGAACACTAGACATATACTACTCCTCCTCTTCAGTCTGAGGTGACAAATCTGTTGAAAGACGAAAATAATCAGCAAGCGGGAGTTTTCACAGACTTGGCATCAAGCATGCCAAATCTCTCCAACACCTTTTTGATGCATTTCTCTTGAGATAGGAATAAACTTCGTTCTCACATATTCTTGTGGATCTTTATCCCCAAAACCTTCTTTACTGCTCCTAAGTCCCTCACCTCAAACTCATGTTTGAGTTGAGATTTCAACTTGTTGATTTCTGACATATCTTTAACTGCAATCAACATATACAAAAGTAAATACACAAAAGAACCATTATTGAGTTTTTTATGATAAACACAACTATCATATTTACTCCTAGAGTAATCATGCTCAAACATGAAAGTATCAAATCTTAAATACCACTATCTCGGAGATTGTTTCACCACATAAAGAGATTTCTTCAAACTACAAACATGATCTTCTTTACCTTCAACAATGAACCCCTTTGGCTAATGCATAAAGATCTGCTCTTCAAACTCACCATGTAGAAAAGTCGTCTTCACATCAAGTTGCTCAAGCTCCAAATCAAAATGAGCAACCATAACAAGTAACACACAGATTGAGATGTGTTTTACAACTGGAGAAAATAATTTATTGAAGTCCACACCTTCGGTCTGACTGTAGCCTTTAGCTACCAAGCATGTTTTGTATCTTACAGAATCTGTATCCGAAATTCTTTCTTTCTTCTTAAACACTCATTTACAGCCAACAATCTTCTGTCCCTTTGGTGGCTTCACTAACTCCCATGTCTGGTTCTTGTGAAGAGACTCCATCTCTTTAGTCATCGCAACAGTCCATTGTGCAGCCTCATTATCATTAATAGCCTCCTTGTAGGTAGAAGGCTATGGAATTTCAATCGATTCTGCTATACTCAAAGCGTAAGTAAGCATGTCTGCATAGCGTTGAGGAGGTTGGATCTGTCTTTTTATTCTCCCGATGACAATATTGTACTATTTCTCTTACGGTGTGACAGCATCTGAAGTTGAACATTCCGCAGTATCAACTGGTTCAATATGAGCGCCCTCAAGTATTCTCTTTGAAGTTAAGATCTCTAGCTCCACGTGCTTACTAGACTCCTTTTCAGTACCTGTGGTATTAATAACAGACTCTCTTCTTAGGTGAAGCATGGATTTTTTATTAAAAGTAACATCCCTATTAATAATAAACTTAGGTGATTTGAAATCAGAACACCACAATCTATATCCCTTCACCCTAGTAGTGTGTCCTAGAAAGATAGCTCTCTTTGCTCTGGGTTTAAACTCACCATCATTAACATAAAAATAAACAGAACAATCAAATACTCTTAAATGAGAGTAATTAGCAGGGGCATCAGACCATACCTCTTCTAAAGTTTTAAAATTAATTGATATAGAAGGAGATCTATTTATCAAGTAACAAGCTGTATTGATTGCCTAGGCCCAAAAGTCTTTTGACAAACCAGTATTAAAGAGCATGCACTGAGCTCTTTCTAAAAGTGTTCTATTCATCATTTTTGTAACTCCATTTTGTTGTGGTGTATACGGAACTGTACGATGACGCACAATACCTTTATTCATGCAGAATTGGTCAAAATCTGTGGAACAAAACTCCATCCCATTATCGGTTTTGAGGCGCTTTACTTTCTTTCCTATTTGCTTCTCAATCATAACCTTCCATTGCTTGAAGGTTGTAATTACATCACTCTTATGCTTTAGAGGATACACCTAAATTTTTCTGGAATAATCATCAATTAATGTTAGCAGAAAATGAGCTCCACCTTTTGATGGAACCTGAGTGGGACCCCAAATATCTGAATGAATATAATCTGAAGTACCATTAGTTCTATGGACACCGGTACTAAAGGAGACTCTATGGTGTTTGCCGAAAATACAATGCTCACAAAAGTCTTTCTGACCATAAAACATACCTTATTTGCTTAATACATCTAGTCCTCTCTCACTCATATGCCCTAACTGCATATGCCACAAACGTGTAGTATCAGAATCTGAATCCTATGAGGATGATAATGTTGCAGCACTTGTCAATGTGCTACCTTCAAGGACATAGAGGGTATTTACCTTCTTTCCTTTCATCACAATAAGAAAGACTTTACTAACTCTTAAAACTCTACCTTCAGCCGAAAACTTAAAACCATTTGAGTCAATGGTGCATAAAGAAATGTGGTTCTTCTTTAACTCTGGTATATGTCGGACATTGCTCAATGTTCTAACAATATCATCATGGGTTCTAATCTTAATTGACCCGATACTAATAGTCTTGCAAGGCATGTTATTTCCTAATAAGTATTCCCACCATCAATAGATTGATATGTGACAAACCAATCCCTATATGGATACATATGATAGGAACAACCCGAATTAAGAACTCACTCATCTTGTGAATGAGTATTAGCACTAACTGAAAGAACTTCATGTGAACTGGAAGACTCTTTAATTATAATGGCAACTGAAGGTTTCACCTCCCCAGACTTCAACCGTGAGTTATTTTTATATACACATACTTGTGAGTTTTAGCGCTAGACAATTAGATTTTATATACACATACTTGTGACAGTAATAACATTTAATATTTTTTTCTTGGCCTGGACTTTGATGTAGACATACTTCTAGATTTGCCTCTACCACCAACACCCTTTTTAGGACGACCACGAGGGAACAAGCCTTCAGCTTGATCCTCTCCTCCTACGATAGACACTTTCTGTCTTAACTCTTTTGAATGTAAGGCTGATTTGACATCCTCCAAAGACAGTGGATCTCTACCGTATAACATGATATTAACAAAATTCTCATAGGAAGGAGGTAATGAACATAACAAAACAAGGGTTTGATCTTCTTCATCAATTTAACATCAATATTCTTTGAATCCATAAGAACAATGTTAAGCTCATCTAAATGGTTTTTAATTCGGATACCTTCTTCATGCAAAGGGTGAAGAGGCGTTGCTTCAAGTAAACCTTGTTCGTTAGAGATTTCGTTATGAACAAGCTCTCCAACTTGAGCTACAAGCTGACGACGGTATCTTCATTAGCAACCTCCCGCAGAACTTCATCGGCCAAACAGAGTTGTATGGCACTATGCGCCTTCATCTCCAGCTCTTCTTTCTCATCATCGGGCATGGATTCCGGTAACTTGTCTTTTCCGAACAAGACTTTAAACAGTCCTTGTTGTATTAAGAGAGCCCTCATTTTTACTCTCCACAAACTGAAGATGTTTCTCCCGTCGAATTTCCCCACTTTGTATTTTGCAGAAGATATCTTGAAGCCCACTAGAACAGTAATTGTAATTGTGAACAATAACCGTACTTATGAGTAATAACCGTACCTGTGAATAGTGATGTACTCGTAAATAGTGTCAGTGTCATACGTCAGGCTGTGATACCAGATTGTTGTAGCGGGGGGGGGGCTTCACAGACACAGAAGATGTCTATACAAAAGTGGATAATAACAATATTGAATAAACACAGTGAAGGCAAAGAGAACAGCACACAAGGATTTAACGTAGTTTGGTCAGTATGACCTACGTCCACGAGCGAGAATAGCAGAGAACGTTACTAATCACAAAAGAGAAGATTACAAAGAGAGATCACTCTAATATCTCACCAAACTCACACAATGAAGAGAACACTCAAAGAAAACTCTCTTTTTTTTCTCTTCAAGTCTCTCTGTTTTTTCTCTCTGTTCTGGATCTTTGTTCAATGCTCTACCCCTTCACCACTCTTCTCTATTTATAACATTTAAAAGGGTTGGTGGAACAGTAATAGATCGAGTTGGTGAGTTTTGAATTCAAACTCAAAAAATAAAATAAAAAATAACAGCTGATATGAATGGGCAAGCTTCAACTTGCCGTATAAAGGACTTTGGTGAATCATACGAAACATCACCCCATGTACACCCACGCACAAAAAGGAAAAAAAGAAAGGGAAAAAAAGGAGTCAATAATCTAAATATCCATTACTAGAAGAAACTCAACTAGGAAGTTGTCAATTGTGATCATCCAGAAATTTTTATTAAGATAGCAATAAATACAATACAATCAGATCATGGTTCGGGTAGATAAACTCTACATCCTTGGTTGTAGAGAATTTCTACAATTAACCAATGACATCTCCTTACTCCACAAACCTCTCATGAATGATATTCTTCATTTAAATTATATACAAGGACCTTTTAATTGTGATCCACCAAACCGATCAATGTTATTAACTCATATAAGCAATTGCAGAGGCCAGCTACAATAAAAAAATGTAGAGAATCATTGCCTGCATGCTTCACAATCCCACGGGGATAGTAAAGAACAGAATCCATTCATTGTTTATTGAACCTATTCAGGGGAGGATCTACATACAATCCAGGGGGGGCCACAGCCCCCCCAAAATTTAGAAAAAAAATTTAGGGTGCTCTATTCCTCAAGCCCCCTCAAATTTTTTTTTGGGGGGGGTGGGGTGGGGGAATTAGGATGCTCTATTCCTAATTTGGGGAAAAAAAATTAGTTTGTGAATATTAATTATTTGAGGGGTTTTATGTATATATTAATAGTAAATACATTACCATGAGCAGCAACAAGATTAATAAAGGGGGTTTCATTGAAATTGGAAATTTATGAAGAGGTATTTAGCGAATGGTTATTCTTAAGGGGGTTTATTAATAAAGGGGGTGATTCTTAAGGGATTAATAAAGGGGGTTTCATTGAAATAGGAAAAGATAATGTATCTTCACTCCATCGTAATGCTGAAAAGGCATGTGAGGATTTGATGAACCAACCGCAGCATATATCAAGGCGATTCGACAACTTCAATGCTGAACAAGTTGCAACAAATCGTCTTCGGTTAAGAGCTCACATACTTGTGGTGCGATTGCTTGCACTCCAAGGGATTCCGTTTAGAGGCCACGATGAGAAATCTAGTTCGTCCAATCGTGGCAATTTTCTTAAATTTTTGGATGTGCTGGCCATGGAGAATGACGAATTTTCAAAGGCAATTGCGAAAGCTCCCAAAAATGCCAAATATACAAGTCATGATATTCAAAAACAAATACTTCATGTGTTTTCAGTGAGATTGAAAAATGCAATTCGTGAAGAAATTGGAGTTGCCAAGTATTGCATTATTGTTGATGAAGCCCGTGATGAGTCAAAAAAAGAGCAAATGTCTATTGTGTTGTGGTTTGTGGACACTAATGGATTCATTCAAGAAAAGAGCATTATTGTCAAGTTTTATGCACAAGATTTTACAAGTGAAGAAAAAGAGAGTTTGAAGATGCAACTGAAACATTATGAGCATAATGTGAAAACGGCGAAGGAATTGTGAAAAACGTGAAGAATAACTCAAAACAGGCTCCACCACACCCTGGTGTGGTGTCTGCCATGGGTGTGGTAGAGTCTGTCCTGCACCACACCCTCTGCCACACCCACGGTGCAGGGTGTGGCAGAATCTGTCCTGCACCACTCCTGCACCACACCCTCTGCCACACCCATGGTGCAGGGTGTGGCAGACTCATTTTTAGAATCCTCCTTTGTTTGGGAATCCTCCTTTGTTTGGGATTGTGTTTTATTATAAATAGGACCACGTTTTTTAGGGTTTCTTAAGGAGAGAAAAGAAGAGATTTAGCATTGTTTTGAGCACTTTGAGAGGGAGATATTGTGAGGGAGTTGAGAGCTTTGGTTAGGGTTATATTTGAGTGATTTTGTGAGTTGTAACCCGTTGTATTTCTCCTCCATATAGTGAAATCTCCCCATCCTCTCCCCGTGGACGTAGGCAATTGCCGAACCACGTATATCCTTGTGTTTGGTTTGATTTGTCGTAATTGGCTTGGTTTGTGCAAGTGTTTGGCTTTCTTCTACTCGTGATCACAGGTTCGTTGTGAGTTCGTGCAAGGCTTCCGCAAAGGCGCGCGACAAATCTTTCAACCTCCCATCAATTTGCATTCGAGAAAGCTGTTCGTAGTACTTTGTGGATTGTTAGTGGAACCGTGACCTGGTTTGTGCTCTGAGAACATAATCAAAACATTCATCACCAAACCTCATTAAATCGATGTGGTCTATCTACGTGCTTGTTTTTCTTTCATTTTCCTTCTTCCCATTGTTGATATACGGTTAAACCTTCCGTTGTATTGCTAAAATAAACTTAACCTAACGGATTAATTAATCTTTTATCCATCCGAAATATAGCAAGGATAAACTTACGACAACACATACAGTAATCAGCGAAACATTGCGATCGATTACTAACCTGGGCAGCATCAAAGCATCCCATACTCCCAAAACACAAGAACACCACAGACCCCGGCGGCTGCTGATCCAACCACCGAACACACTCGTGCTTGCTCAACCCTCCCTCGTCGCCCTCTCCAGTCGCCAAAACAGGACCAACCGGGAAAACCTTCGGCGTCGAGCAATCCGGTATAAACAAACCCTCACCCAACAGCCTCAGCGCTCGACTCTCCAACTCCTCAAACGTGTTGACGACAATCCCTTTTGCCTCTCTATACCTCCTCCCGTGATACACAAACCACGTATACGCCTTGCTCTCCTTCCTCATAAACGGGCTTGGCATTGAGCTCCCCGGTATCGCCTCTACCCCGGGCAAAGGGATTCCTCCTTCGACGTCCTCGAACTCTCCGGTTATTTTTTCTTCGAGAGCTGGCAAGTGAAGCATTAACGCTAACATGAGAGCGGTTGAAGTGAAGTAGACGTAAGAAGGAATACGGAGCTCGTTTGCTACGTCGAGCAGTGCGGTTGCGAATAAATCGATGAAGATAGCGGAGACGGGGGTTGAGGATGAGGAGACGAAGTGTTTCAAGTGAGGTCTGTGGCTTTGGAGGTAAAGAGAGAGGAAGTCTTCGGGGCTGTCGGCGTCGGTCGAGGAGAAGGGTCGAGAGGGGGATCTTATGAGGAGAGTCGTGATCGTGAGGTTGTTGGATGTTTGGAGGAGTTTTGTGGCAAATTGCAGCATTGAGGCTATGTGGCCTGCTGGCCATGCTGGGATAAAAACTAGGTGAATCTTCGCCATTTTCTTCTTCTTCTTCTTCTATTGGATTTATTGGAAATATGTAGATGAATGAGCTACTTGTGGACACGCTTTTAGTCTTTTATTGGAGGATAAATAAAGGGCGTGGTTGGATCGAGGATTCGAGAGTCGCTGTAAGCACGCAAAACTTCACTCTCAAATCTCAATCAATGCCCCACTGCCCCAATAAATTTTCTGCACTCAAATTAATGGTAGTGGAGATCAGATGAGTTGAGATCGGTTGATATGAGTAGATGATTGTGACTTGTTTGTAATCGAGTTAGTATGATAGTCTTTACGAGTTGAAATCATTGTGGCTTTTCAGTATAAACAAATCGCGGGGGAGTTTTTAAGGCAGGCGGCTGTGATTGAAGTTTGGTGGCTAATTGGACAGCTTGAAACATCCAAACTAGTTAAATGACAGGGTCTTGTGGAAAATTTCTTTTTTATTTAAGAATTTGATCATGTATATTGTTGACTCCCCCTCCCCCCGAATTTTGACTGAAACAGTAGGATCAATTACGATTATTAATTGTAAAATTTGGACTTTATATGGGCTCCCGACAAGTACTTTGCTTTGGACTTGTAAATGGGCCTCACTTGGGCCACTAAAAGTCCATTGCATGACGGACAAAAAATAGTGAAAATTACAAGAGATTTCAATCAGCAGAGAAACACCGCACAATTTCCTACCCTAGAAATCCAGATACTATGAAGTTTTTTGTTGGGAGTTTAAGCGAGCATTGTCCTACTAGAGAAAGATTGATTATCATGTTTAAGGTTCATTTGACTAGTATCATTATTAACTTTAAAGAAATAATACTATCTCAAAAAAATATATATATATTTGGAGGGCTCTTTCAGATTGTTTTTGACAACCACTCAAAAACTAAGCCCAGATCAATCTTGGTCAAGATTTATCCTAAATTAGACTAGGATTAAACCAAGGGTGGCGTCCAACAAAAAAAAAAGGGTTTACCTATCACTTCTCTGAGGGGATGTTAGTCAATAGGGACATATTCGTGCAAAATGGGATAATTGTTGAAGTGGAATAATTTTTCGCTAGTGGGATAAATAGGAACAATTTTGTGAAGCGGGATATTTTGATAAAATAACGTGCGATAAATTTTTATAATCATGAAATATATATTTATGAATTTTAAAGAAATAAATACTATTTATCTATTTTAAACTTACTATTATTGATTGATAATTGCTTATAAGAATGTTCTTTACTATTAAATAACTTTTGGTTAGACTATAAGATATTAACAGTTATTATTATAATGATAGTCTAATAATGGTGATAACCATAATAGGAAAGAAGTAAAGAAAAAAAGATATATAAAAAATAATAAATAATAAAATAAATATGAGCTCTAGTTTTTTACCACCTAGTTCTAAGCTAAAACTTAGAATAATTTGAGAGACTATAACTCTCATTTTTGTATAGAAAAATAAAAAAGTGGGATAATTTTGTACCATTATCCCAAATCTAGTTTTGTTAGAGTTCTACTTGACTAACACTGTAAAATTTTGTTCTAGTTTTAATTCTATGTGACTAACACGTTAAAAATTTATTCCACATATTATCCTAGTTCTAATTTTAAGTTCTAGATGACTAACCCCCCTTGAGTGAATTTTTTTTCTAAAATTACACTAGGGTCAATCCAGAGCCAGCTTCAAGTGGTTGCCAAACACAACCTCGTGCCACCCTCTACGTAGAGGGATCCATGGACGCTACAAAAATTAAGGGTCAATTACAAGACTGCACAAATCAAAGAAAAATTAATCTACGATAAATTTAGAATAGAATTAAGTGTTTAGTGACTTGTCAAACTCTAGCACAGAAACAAACTGTCACGACAGCAATAGATGATGTCATATCACTACCCTATTCAAAATACTACTAGAGCATCACTTAGCTAAATTAATGCTTGATGATTTCAAGACTCTTACAATGACTTAAAATAGAAAGACTTGATGAGAAAAAATTAACCCTCTTTGAGGACGAATTTGAGGCGATTCTCAAAGAGGGAGGGCCATTTGGACTTCTCCAAGGGCTTGAAGAAGAGATAAAAGATTGGTCCATCACTGATACTGTAGTCTTTGAGAGTACATTGATCGTTCTTTAGTAGACGTCCATTCCTGTGCATTAGAATCAACCTGTTTTCTTCGAATCCTTCCTTGCTTGCAATCTCCTTCTTCAAACTCTCCACAGTGGACACTACAGGTGGGTAGTTATGCATTGGTTATGTTGATTCGTATTATGCCGGGGATTTGGATAAGCGCCGGTCTACTACGGGGTATGTGTTCACTTTGACCCGTGCGCCGGTGTGTTGGAGATGCACCTTACAGTCTACGGTGGCTTTGTCTACGACGGAGGCAGAGTATATGGCAGTTACGGAGGCTGTGAAGGAGGCTATTTGGCTTCGAGGACTTTTGGAAGAACTTGGTATATCGCAGCGATCCGTCACTATTCATTGCGATAGCATGAGTGCTATATATTTGGCGAAGAATCAGGTTTTTCATGCGAGGACGAAGCACATTGACGTTCGTTATCACTTCGTTCGGGATGTTCTTGAAGATGGCGATGTGGAAATTGTGAAAGTCCACACGAAGGATAATCCGGCAGATATGCTCACTAAGGTGGTTCCGAGCAACAAGTTTGATCATTGTCGAAACTTGTTGCACATTCGTAATTGTTGAGGCCGTTGGCGGCCATTTGGATGAACTACGGGCGGCTTGATCCCTTGGGAGAGGGGGTACGTAGGCAACCGCATTGGTGCAGCCGAGTTTAGAGAGACGACACATTGGTGCTCATGTTGGTGTCGGCTCAGTGTTGGGAACACTTCGCCGAGGTGGAGAATTGTGAAAACGGCGAAGGAATTGTGAAAAACGTGAAGAATAACTCAAAACAGGCTCCACCACACCCTGGTGTGGTGTCTGCCATGGGTGTGGTAGAGTCTGTCCTGCACCACACCCTCTGCCACACCCACGGTGCAGGGTGTGGCAGAATCTGTCCTGCACCACTCCTGCACCACACCCTCTGCCACACCCATGGTGCAGGGTGTGGCAGACTCGTTTTTAGAATCCTTATTTGTTGAGGAATCCTCCTTTGTTTGGGATTGTGTTTTATTATAAATAGGACCACGTTTTTTAGGGTTTCTTAAGGAGAGAAAAGAAGAGATTTAGCATTGTTTGGAGATATTGTGAGCAAGGTGAGATCTTTGGTTGAGGGTTAGTTTGAGAGAATTTGTGTGATTGTAACCCTTTGTACTCTCCTTGATTTAGTGAAATCTCCCCATCCTCTCCCCGTGGACGTAGGCAATTGCCGAACCACGTATATCCTTGTGTTTGGTTTGATTTGTCGTAATTGGCTTGGTTTGTGCAAGTGTTTGGCTTTCTTCTACTCGTGATCACAGGTTCGTTGTGAGTTCGTGCAAGGCTTCCGCAAAGGCGCGCGACACATAATGTAGTCAAAGGGTCAGACTTCAAAACTCTTTCAAACATTTCTGAGTTGTGTCAATGGTTGGTAAAGACTAATAAATCTGCTACATACGACCTCATTTTTAGAGTGATCGTACTTGTGCTTACTCTTCCAGTTTCTACTGCTACTGCAGAACGATCATTCTCAGCTATGAATATCGTCAAAACTAGGCTTCGAAGCAAAATGGATGATGCTTTCCTCTCCGACGTATTAATGGTGTTTATTGAAAGAGAAATTGCTAAAAGTCTGAGCATTGATGCTAGGGGTGGGCAAAAACCGAAACAAACCGGTTCAACCGAAAAAACCGCCCGAAAAAACGGATCGGTTAACCGAACCGAATTATATGGATAGAAGAAGTCTCTAAACCGCCCGAACCGAATTAAACTGGTTTGGATCCGGTTTGAACCCCTGAACCGCCCAAAAAAAACCGAACCGAATTCTTAAACAAAAAGTAGCTGCGAGCCTTGGGTGTGAAGAAAATTTATGGCTGAATGTTTAGCATTTAAGAATTGTGGGGTGGAGTTTATACTAACATATATTTGAGTACGCTGATATAGTTAAGTGAGATTTCCGTAAATCAATACAAGATGTTGAGGTTGAAGGATAAATTTAGTGTTTTGGTCAAATTTCAGTGATAACATGAATACAGCTTGCTGGTGCTGGATATCAAATTAACCTATAGTATAGGCTGTCAAGGATATAAGATAATTCTTGATGAGAAAAAGGCAGCTAAAAATTAACGAAAATCATCAAAAGGTGTGTGTGCCTGCCAAACATTGTTCTTTCTCTAAAAAAGGCTACATAATTACATGGTCCTCCTAGTGTATTAAGCTAGTTATATTCAGATCATACAATTTGATTAAGTGGCTTAGTACAGTTTTGATTGTTTCTTTTCAGTTTTGATTGCTTCTTTTCAGTTTTGGATATAACTATATCATTGAAGACTTTAAAAATTTTAAGGAACGTCGAATTCCTTTTAGTTAGAGAAATTTTAGTTATAAAAAAATAGATGATGCTTATTTGACTATTTTCTATATAATATTTGTCTTCCTCTTTTGAAATATTTTGGAGATATTGATGTTGGCTATTCTACTCGTTTTATTTAGGTTGTAGTATATCTCTTGTGAATAAAATTACATTAAGAAATTTTTTTTATCTATCTTTTGAACGCGGTCCCCCCAGAACTAAAATCCTGGATCCGCCCCTGAACCTATTCGTATGGAATAATTTTAATATTTCATGTTTTCTAGTATTAAGGCATGTACTTAAATATCTCGTTCGGTAGTATTTAATAGGAAATGGTTGTAATATGTGCTGTTGAACTTGTGACCTTTCTGTGATAATAAAGTACTTTTATCCCTCTGTTTGTGATATAAGAGTATATAATGGATGGTTACCTCGGGTGAAAAAAGAAAGAAAATGAGCATAATTCAAGTCCAAAATGAATCCATACAAATCTCCAAATCCAAGATTGAAGGTACATATTATCAGTCAATTTTTCTTTACAAAACTAAAATCAAATACATAAGTCAATTCATCAGAATGACTATTAAACTCCCGCTTCTCTTCTAATCATCCCATCCTCTTCCCAGCGTGAAGCACTAGCCGATACATAGTACGCAGCACTAAGCACGCCATGAACAAAACACAGTATCCCTCCTGTAGACAAGAAATTGTGATGCGCTATTCCACAAGTAACCCGAGACTTCGAATTGGATAAGGCGCCAACAATCAGCATCGTGAAGCCCACAGCAAGAATAATCCTGATCATATATATCGAAGAAAATATAACGTTATGTACGTAGGATGGTTTTTCTAAGATACATACATAAATATGAAGACGTTCTATATGATTAGGTATACCATGACAAAATTAGGGTGCCGGCTGAAAGTTGCTTGTTCCTTGATGACCTGCGAAATTCTTCGGTTGAACAAATGCAGATGCACCCACCAAGTAGAATGGTGATGGTGTGGGCTAATCCAAGAAGGATTGCGGCTGCTAGGCCCAGCCTGTAGGCTTGGTGGACAGGCTCTTTGCATTCAATAAATAGAAACCTTAGGTTCTTGCCCTACAACACATCAAATACAGGATATCAACAAGAGACGCAATTTTTTTTTTACATGGTCACTTCGCGATGTAACCAATGGCAAATGGAGACTGATTTATCGCCCAAATCGCTTATGTGGCGCGTTGCTGATATGACAAACACCTATGCTCTTATAACATACATCAGAAACTGCTAGATTGTATGTGTCATATCAACAACATACCAGTAGGACATGGGACATCAACCACCATTATCCTAACATCCTATAAACTCTATAGCATTCGAAATGGAATTTGGTATAATTTCCTGACATGAAGTGCTATACCTTGTTTTGAGCAGCCTCAGCTTCAATTCCCAGTATGCCAGCCACAACATCAATGACTACAATCAAGAGGCAAATTAGCACAGGAATTGCTTTTGCCATTTTCTCTATATGATTTGAGGACTTCTATCAGTCGTTGGTGAGAAGAGAATAGAAGGATTAGGCTTTTGTTTTTAAAGGAGAAGCTTTGTGTGTGAATATAAGAATAAAGCCAAAGTAGAGAAGATTGATACTCACTTATAATTACCAGCACATATGTTAGCTGTGTAAGATGCTTGCTACATAACTCATCTTTTTTACTTTTCAATTGCCTTGCTTGTGGATATGATTCTTTCTCATGGAGAGGAAGTAAAGCATGGAATCATTTGCCCCATTAAAGTTACCAGGAATGAGAGATTACTTTGATAATAGTCACATCACTTTTGCTACATCATGTACATATTTTAGATGTGCAAAGTTTGAAGGCAATGGACGAAAAAGTAGGGGTGGGATTAAAAAAAGAAGAAAGCAGTACTTTTTCTTTTTCCCACTGCTAGAACTGTAATCTCTTTCAAACATAAGAGAGTGATTTAGGCTAAATGGCACTTAAATAGCCTACTATTCCACCATATTTGCACTTAAACACCATACATTGTAAAAAGTATCACTTTTATATCCCAAGTTGTAAAAAACTGTCACTTAAACACCCTATTCACTACTGCATAGTGGACTATTGGCGACGGACAAATCCGTCGCCAAAAGTCGAAAATCCGTCGCTAATAGTTTTAGCGACGGAAAAATAAGAATTCCGTCGCTAAAACTCCGTCACTTATTGTCGGTAATGTTTTAGCGACGGAGTATTTCAGTCGCTAAAACAAAATTTTCCGTCGGCAAATTGGTTTTTACCTACGGATATATAGCGACGGAATTTCCGTCGCTATATGTCATGTTATAGCGACGGAAATTTCCGTCGCTGAATATCCGTAGCCAATACACCATTTTCTAGTAGTGATTGTTGTTGGCCATTTTGTTTTAATGGTGATTTACGAACAATCCCTAATATTGTTTGTCTAGTATTCATGTTTTCTTATTAGGTATTTTGGACAAACAATAAGTCGGAGGATGGATGAAATTGCGCCATAACGATCATATCAAATGGAGGTTGGCGGAAATATCGGTATGAAACCATGCACATTCAAGACAAGATCCAAGATCAAACTTCATCCGCAAAGTTTACCAAGACAAGCATATTTAAGACCAATCAAGCTTGGGTAATTTATAGTTTTCGTGTTTTGGACTAGTTTTGAAAAATCATGAGTTTCACTATTGGGAAGTGCAACTCCAAAATTTCTTTTTGGAACATGTTTATTTTCATGTTTATAAGCATTCCCCAAAGTTTTATATTTTTTGGATTTTATTTGCTATTTTTAAAGCCTCTCGAAAATCAAATTTACTATTCATAACAGGTTGAATATGTGTTATCAGTCGACTGATGCAAAGGATCAGTCGATCGATGAACTCGTCTGGAAAAGTACAAAAGTTTTCGTTTTTGCGACTGATGAACTATTAGTCGACTAATGAACTATCAGTCGACTGATGATCTGTGAGCTGATTATAACAGTCAGCTCATCAGTCGACTAATATTGTTCATCAATCGACTGACGGCCTCTAACGGCTAGTTTTTCTAGCTTTCTTTTTTTTGCTGGGTTTTCTTGGTTTTTGGGCTTTGGTTTTCATCTTATATATACCCCTTTGTCATAACTATTTTCACCTAACAAAAAGAAGTATTTAAAATAAGTTTACAATAGTTTAAGATTTGTTTTAGTTTGTTTTAGTGTTTGTTTGGTCTGTGAAGAAATTTTCACAAGAGGAAGAAGAGATCATCCTTTGGTGTTTGAGCTTCATCTCATCTCTCTCTCTCTCTTGATTTATAGAGAAGTTTTTCTAAACTCAATTTCTAGCTTTATTTATATTCATTTGTTTGATTATCATTTTATTAAGCTAGATTTTATAATTGAGTTTAGTTTTGGTTATTTCTCATTGATTACACCCCCCCCCCCCCTGGCTTAAATCTGACCCGCGCCAGAGTCAAGGCAGAAGATGTTCTACACCTGTTTCGTCGATCCCTGTGAGTTCCGTACCTCCGGCGGGGCACCGTGACAACGTGGATTTGTCCCGATTCAAAGTGAGGATAGTCGATCGCCTGAGTCCTTTGCACGAGGATCGAGGCAAAGTTCTGATCGAAGAACGCTTGGGTCCGGTGACTGAACCCCGGGCAACTCGTCGAGCTGGGGGTCGCACACGCCCTCTCAACAATAACAAGCCTTCTTATAAAGGGAAAACTCAAGTTTCCACCCGTCTGGGGGTGTGTATTCAAAACCAGGAGCCTGTTGAGATCTTGCGCTCCCAAAAGCGTAGTTCTAAACACGTGACTCTTAAGAACGCTAATAAAGCGGCAAATCCCCTGAAAGAAACGTATTCATCTGACGATGACAACGTTATACTTGGGGAGTTGTGTCAACGTACGATAGGTTGCTCCGGTCATCTGACCGATGAGTTGTACTATCGGGCTGGGGGTATGAACAAGTCTCGAAAAAGATATGCCCGAGAAACCAAATATCACTACCCGTGCGCCGAACTAATCAGGACAATATTATCAGCATGTAGTTGCCCCAAGACCGCTCCACAGAGGGTCTCGGTATCCGAGAGGATCTCCAACGAAATGACTAAGTTCAAACCAAAACGTCTCCGTAAAAAGAGATCGGTTGTTCAAGGTGACGAACTCCCGGAAGTCACAATAAATATGGCTGATAAGGGAAAGTCGATTCGACCTTCTAGCTCTGACCCGCTTATATCTCATCGTCTAACCCGGTTGCGATCAGGGACCACTAGACGCAGGGACTACCAGAGAATGCAGAGAGGGTTATCCTCGGACGATGAAGCATCGGATGCTAACTCTGCAGTCGCTTCTGACAATACGGTATCTAGCCCAGGGCAATCCCGCGAAGTGTTTATGATTAACACCGAAGAAGCAGCTAAAATGGTTGAGGATGCTCTATCCAAGCAGAAGCAAGCATTTAAATTCGAAATAGAAATGGCTATGCAACAGATGAAGGAAGAGCACGACCGACAGATTCAGGCTCTTTCCAATCAAATGGGCGAATCTGAGCTTTTAGTATTATCACATTGAGTATATTTGGGTTGTAGGGAGTGTATCATTGAGAGTGAGCTACATTGAGTTCTCATCCATTGTAGAGAACAAACAATTTGTATTTGTGCTTAAATTTGTGAGATCACTTTATAATATACTTGTACACCGAGAGAAGTGTGTGGTGAGAGACGGGGTCGGTTCCAAGAGGAGTGGCGTCGGTAGTAAAGCCTAGAGAGAGGTCGTAATTCCGAGCACTTGAGGAAGGATAGCTAGAGACCAACACTTAGAGGGTGTAGTGTGTGATTACAAGAGTGTGAGATTATAGAGTTTTCGGTGAGCTAGAAAACCGAACTTGTGAGGTGTAAACGGTTGTCGGTGAGCCTTGAAAACCGATTGTGAACGTTTTCGGTGATCGTTGGAAAACCGGTTGTGATAGTGGATTCTCCCCGGGAGTGGGGAGCGAAGAGTAGGTCGAGGGGACCGAACTCCATGATCATATCGTTTGTTTGAGTTTGCATTGGTGTATTTATTTGTGCTCATTGTCCATTCATTCTATATTGTCGTTGCTGATGTTTATGTGCTCTTAGTTTACATATCATTGCACATATAAGTTATTGTATATCTTATTTGCTAAGATAAATTGTTAATTAGTTTTATTTGGCATTAAATCAAATTAGATTAGCATTAACCCTATTCAACCCCCTCCTCCTCTATGGTGCTTTCAATTGTTTCATCACTTTACACTTAATTACCCTAAGTTGTAAGAAAGTAATACTTTAATATCCTAAATTGTTAGAAAATAGCACTTTACCACCTTCTGTTAGTTTTCAGGCCATATTCCTATGAATTTCCATGACAACTAGCAAAAGGTACCAACGTGTTATTTTTTTACAACTTAGGGTATTAAAGTATTGATTTTTATAATTTAGGGTATTTAAATGTAAAGATAGTGAAACAATAAGGTATTTAAGTGCCATTTAGCCTATGATTTATTATTTTCATTCTAAATGCTAAATTGAAAAGTCCACATACTGATTTCTCATGGACACACAGTATCACCAAAAAAAAATTACTGAAGTTGCAAGATAATTCTATCACAATGTATATATGAACAAGGAGATGATCATGTTCTTCATTTTGCCAGTTGAATTGCCAATACTATCACCATCCTGAAAGACACATTGTGCAGTTCTCGCAATATTTAAGATCATATTAGCAAAATCTGTTGAAAATTTACTCCATGGAATTTCCCTATTGAGATTTATCAATGAACTTATAATCAATTCCTTAACATGCTCTCGTGAACTTTCACCAGTATCATTCATATGGCATTGTATTGATTTGGGTATATATCCTCTCTGCATCTCAGCCTTCAAGATTTGTATTTATATGATTAGAAACTATAAGCTATCACTACAACGAAAGTTGTATGTATCCACACTTATTTTATGACACATATAAAAATGATATTTTATTTACAAAGGATTAAATAATAGTGACACAAATAAAAAAGTGTAGCAAATCATGACACATATTTGTGTCATTAGATATACAATTAAATATAATTGAAAATGCTAATATTCCAACATAGATTATGAGAGGATCTGTTAATAGGATTAAATAATAAATGTTAGATTTTAATTATAATGATGATTAAACATTTTTTATAGTGTGTAAATTAAGAAAAAATCCATAGTTGAGTGTGTTTTGGTGAGAGTAATCCTAGGATAGGTGATCTTCTGTGAAGTTATAGTGTTGAATAATTATATTCTTTATATTTTTATATTTTAAACTCAATTATGTGTCACTACTCTTGACACATATACGTGTCACGAGTTTTGTGACACATATATGTGTCACCACCTGCGACATATGTGTCACCACCTGCGACATATATGTGTCATGAGTTTTGTGACACATCCTCACATATGTATAAAGATGCTCTCCGCACGTGCTCTAACCACACTTTTGGTATGTATCGTGCTCTATTTGCGTGACACAAAAACATGTCGTATAAAAATAAAAAATGTATCATAATTTACATTTTTTGTTGTAGTGTACCTTTAGTACAAATCATATTCTTTTTAAAAGCA